GGATCTCTTGGGTGTCCCTAAGGGACCATGGGGGCATGGTGGGACCCTCAGGGTGTCCCTGGTCAAGGGGATGTGGTAAGATCCACCAGGGTATCCCTGGTCAGGAGAATGTGATGGGACACTCTGAGAGTCACCAGTGGGTCATGGGGACATGGCGAGACCCCCAGGTTGTCCCCAGTCAAGGGGATGTGATGGGACACCCTGGGGGTTACCAGGGTGTCATGAGGATGTGTTGGGACCCCCAAGGTGTCCCTAAGGGGCCATGGAGATGTGGTGGGACCCCAAGGGTGTCCTTGATCAGGGATGTGTGATGGCACACCCTGGGGGTCACCAGTGGGTCATGGGGACATGGTGGGACCCCCAAGGGTGTCCCTGGTCAAGGGGATGTGATGGGACATCCTGGGGGTCCCCAGCCTTGAGACCCTCACAATGTTCTTGGCTGTGGGGTCGGTGGCCCCACCAGGGTGGGACAGTGCTGGTGGTGTCACCTCTCCCTGTCCCAGTCCTGCTTTGGGGACCCCCACAGCTCCAGGGGGGTTGGATGTGGCCAGTGCCATCCCTGTGGCTTTGGGGACACTGAGGGGTGGCCAGTGCTGTCCCCTGTGGCTCCGGTGGGACCAAGAGTGACCAGTGTCATTCCTGTGACTCTGGTGGGACCGAGGGTGTCCAGTCCCATCCCTGTGGCTTTGGGGACACTGAGAGGGGGCCAAAGCTGTCCCCTGTGGCTCTGGTGGGACCAAGGGTGGCCGGTGCCACCCCTGTGGCTCTGGGGGACCGAGGGTGACCAGTGCCACCCCTGTGGCTCTGAGGGACCAAGGGTGGCCAGTGCCACCCCTGTGGCTCTGGGGGGACCAGGGGTGACCGGTGCCACCCTTGTGGCTTTGAGGGGCTGGTGGTGACCAGTGCCACCCCTGTAGCTCTGGGGGGACCAAGGGTGACCAGTGCCACCCCTGTGGCTCTGAGGGACCAAGGGTGGCCGGTGCCACCCCTGTGGCTCTGGGGGGACCAGGGGTGGCCGGTGCCATCCCCGTTTCCGTATCCACTCCCCCTCCCCATCCCCATCCGCCACCTGCCCGGCCACGTGTTGGGATCAGGATCGGGATCCCTGAAATCCCCCCCGGGGGGGACAGGTTTGACCCCCCGTGGTGTCCCCAGCGTTGCCACGGGGGGTCCCGCACCCCCGCCGAGCCCCCACCACCCTTCCCTGCCGGCGGGTTTGGTTTTGGGGTGGGGGGGGTTGGTGTTTACCTCCTCACCCCTTCTCCGAGCGGCTCCCGCTGTCCCCCGGGGGCGGTTCCGGGGCTAATTAATCCCCCCCGGGATGAGCCTCCCCAGAATAGCCCTGGGGAATCGGATCAGCTAATGAGCTGAGGGCGCTGGGGGTGGGGGGGGAGCGGGCGAAGGGAGGCAGCGGCCCCGGTGCCACATTCCCGAGGGGGACAGACCCTGGCAGTGCCATCCGGAGCCATGCCCGGGCTGCAGGGAGCGACTTTGGTGGAGCTGCCCAGGAAGCTGCAGCGCTCCCTCCTCCCCCGGCGGGACCTGCCGGGCCGGGGCAGCGCCGACATCGCCGAGTCCGTGGTGCACACGGCGGTCATGGGGCTGCTGCTGGTCACCGGCGAGGTCCGGGGGGCCGGAGGGGACCGGGGGGGGGGCGGGGGGGGAGACGCGGCTCACGGGTGTCACTCGGTGTCCCCGCAGACCCACCACTCGCTGCTGCTGGGCTCGGGCCACGTGGGCCTCAGGAATTTGGGCAACACGGTAAGTGGCCACCGTGGCCGCCAGACCTTGCTGGCTCTCCGTGCTGGGGTGTGGGAGGGATTTGAGGGGGGGTCTCTCACCTCTGGGTCCCCCCCAGGCTCGTGGTGGTTGTGCTGTCGCTGTCCCGTCCTGCTGGGCTGTGAGGTGCCCAGAGCTCCCCCAGGCCCCCCCTGCGGTCCCCAGCCCTCCCGTCCCTCTATCCTGGGCTGCACCAAGGATTTGGGGTCCCCTGGGGTCCTTTTAGGGTCACCTGAGGGTCCTCCAAGCTCGTGGTGGCCATGGTCCCATCCCACTGGGGACATCACGTCCTTGGGGACCTTCAGTCCCAGAGCACAGTCCCTGTGGTCCCCAGCCCTCCTGTCCCACTGGCCTGGGGTGAACGAAGGATTTGGGGTCCCCTAGGGTCTTCTGGGGTCCCTTTGGGGTCACCTGGGTGTCCCTTTGGGGTCACCTGGGGGTCCCCAGGTCTCCCCGTGGCTGTTCCTCTGCGGTCCCATCCCACGTCTCATCCCTGAGGACCTCCCTCCGCCCCAGAACAAGTCAGGGGTGCCTGAAACAGTGTGGGACACCCCAAGGGGACCCCTGGGGACCCCTCAAGTCCCGGCACCATCCCCTTGTGTGTGTGTCCCCCCCCCAGTGCTTCATGAACGCGGTGCTGCAGTGCCTGAGCAGCACCAAACCCCTGCGGGACTATTGCCTGCGCCGGGACTTCCAGCAGGAGCAGCCCCCCGGCCCCAGAGCCCCCCAGGAGCTCACAGAAGGTGGGAGAAACCCCCTAAAAAAATTTCAGGACCCCCTGGAAGCATTACATAACTCCTGAGACCTGTTCCCCCCCCTCCACACCTTGTCCCCGCAGCCTTCGCCGACGTCATCGCGGCGCTCTGGCACCCGGACTCCTCGGAGCCCGTCAACCCCGGGCGCTTCAAGGCCGTGTTCCAAAAATACGTCCCCTCCTTCACGGGCTACAGGTGAGGGGACCCCCCCTTTCCCACCCTCACACCTTTTGGGGGGTGGGCAGAGGGGGTACAACGTGTCCCCGTGTCCCTCCTCAGCCAGCAGGACGCCCAGGAATTCCTCAAGTTCTTCATGGACCGGCTGCACGTGGAGATCAACCGCAAGGGCCGGCGGACCCCCAGCATCCTGTCGGACACAAGGAGAGCCCCCGCCCTGGAGGACCCCGAAACGCTCAGGTGGGGGACGGGAGGTGCATGGGAGGGTTGGGGGGAGCCCCGATTTTGGGGCTGATCCCCCCC